GGGTTTAGGGGGGAGGGGTTTAGGGTTGAGGGGCTGAGGTTCTGGAGTTCGTAAGGTTTCGAGTTTGGGGTGTTGAACCGGCTTCGTGTTGGTGGAGACTTCTTGAAAAAAACAAAACTCTGCCTATCGTTCTGGCGACTTCGGGCCCAGAACCTGATTTAGGGTTTAGGGTTCGGGGTTTGGGGTTTAGGGTTTAGGGTTTAGGGATTAGGGTTTAGGGTTTGGGGTTTAGGGTTTAGGGTTTGCGGGTTAGGGTTCAGGGTTTGGGGTTTAGGGTTTAGGGTTTAGGGTTTGGAGTTTGGGGTTTAGGGTTTGCGGTTTAGGGTTTGGGGTTGCTCTTACGGGATGTTGGTGCGCAGTGTAGCTACCGATCGATGGCAATTGGCCACTTGGCACGTGGCCCCACCTGGCTTACATCCTTTGTGCTTTTGCTATCGTGCTCCATGCCAGTACAACAAACGACATCTTCACCCTACAGAGGGTGTCTTGCTACATAAGGATTCTAAATTCGAAGGCCAGTAATGCAACCGAAAACCCTGATCCATAAGACTTCTGAAGCCTTCATAATCATAAGGTTTGGGAGCGGGAGTGTGCACGATGTTATAATAACGAACCCTGAGGCCCTGATGATTATATACTGCTAATGACGCACGTCCCGATAGCAAACATTGTTAACCAATCCTGTTTGCAGGATCAGGGGGCGTAGTAAGCAAGGCTATCAGTACCTTACTGTAGCTGCGGCTGTATGCAATTATACTGGTTATAACCAAAGTTGCTTGACTTGTAAGTCTGGCTAGTTACTCCCATGAATTTTTCAGTAACTCAACCCCCCCAGTATAAATCCTTAGCTAGATGTACCCTTACAGAAACCATGATAATGCCCTTCAGTCTCAAAACCTCCTGACTTTTCATCGAGGCCACCGCATGGAGCCCAAGGTGGTGGCTCAAGAGGTCTTGGGTTTCAGACTGTGCGACTTACGGCGCACCGTCTGGCAGGGGGACTCCTCTCGAGCCCTAGCTGAAACCTTCAAAACTTGATTCGAGGGGCCGGAATCATTAGACTTCAGGTGTCTTTCGATCATAGGACTTAGGATTAGACCCTGAGGGATAGAGACCCTCTCAATAAGGTCCCGCTTAAGAGAGCTATACGTAGGGTTAAGAAGGGTCCCCTTTGAGAAGTTTCCCCAGTACTGCCTAGGAGATAAGATTGCTGCTATAATAAGGGTTCTATAGGCTTTGAAGCTTTCAGCTTGTAACCTCCATACTAATGTTAATTTATTCGACTATGGTCGTGGAGTATACCATGATCGTATATTTTGATGGGGGAGCCTTAGGAGACACTTTTCCAGATCCTACTGCAAGTGAAACGGCTTCCAAGGACTATAACCCTAAAACCAAGCTACTGGGTTATTAGATTTAAAACTCCAATCGCTCCCTAAACCCCTAAATCCTAAACCCTAAAGGGGGTATACATGCAGCTGTTCAGGCCCCTACATTTGGCTGCAAGGCTGCTGTTCGCAGAGTCAACCAAAGATCTGAAAACTCGAGCAGACAGGTATAGACCCCTCTACGGTTTAGGGTTTAGGGTTTATAGGCTTTGCGGTTTAGGGTTTAGGGTTTCCTTGGCCCTGAACCCTAAACCCTGCACCCCAAACCCCTACAGGGTTTCAGGCAGTAAGAATGAAAGTCCCGGGATCTTTCGCTGTCTGCGAACTAAAATCAGCTCGTCGTTTCCTTTGACGAGTGGACAGGGATCTTGGGTATTGTCCGCCACACCAGCAACGCTATGCTGAAGGCTGGTAATGCAAACGCCAACCCCGCCACGATGCGCATCTCAGGAAAAGCTACTTCGAAGAGGAAGATATCAAAGGCCGCGTGGGAGAAGAAGTAAGCCGCGCCAACGAGGACGACGAGGTAGGATGTCAGCAGATCTAGAAGAAAACAACTTCGTTTCCGACGTGTCCAGTACGCCATTCGGATGTAGATCCTTTACTGCTTGCTTTGACTTGGTGCAAACCCAGGAATTGAAGGATAGTCGGCTACTTCTTATATTATTGAAACTACCTGTGACCCCAAACCCTACA